CTATATATATATATATATATATATATATATATATATATATATATATATATATATATATATATATATATATATTAAATTTATTTAATCCTTGTTAGTATTCTCTTCACATCATCTCTCTCCCTCTCTCATAAATGGTAGTGACTCACGATAAGAACAAGACGGGAATTAAAAATTAATTATGAGTGGACTCTTTTATGTTATTTATTTCACCCGAGATAATTTATATTAAATTATTCTATTTTTGATATATTTAGGTGAATATTTAGATCTATTATCGGGCATAAATTTATTGAACTACTGTAAAATTATAATCACATGCTTTATCAATTCGTGAAGACAGCTTAGAATATTTTTTTATATTAAAGAATTTTTTTTTGATATATTAATAAAAAATGGAGAGAAGAATAGTTGGGGTGATCAGTCAAATAAGAAGGCAAAAATAAATGATACTATTTATTTTGACATTAGCCGACGTTTCGACCTGAAGTTCAGGCCATCATCAAGGCTAAGAAAAGAGCCAGATACCAAGGTATGAGAAACATAAGTAGTGTAGGTAAAAACAATTAAAGTAAAATTTAGTTGTTATAGTACAATAGTATTGTATGATGGCCTGAACATCAGGTCGAAACGTCGGCTAATGTCAAAATAAATAGTATCATTTATTTTTGCCTTCTTATTTGACTGATCACCCCAACTATTCTTCTCTCCATTATTCACGACAGTCAACCATTTACCAATTTTTAATAAAAGAGTTTTTAATAAATACAGGAAAACTAAATTTTAAAAATTTCTATCCAGTTTCTACAGAAATTCCATATGATTTCCACCGAAGAAAAAAATTCATTCAATTAAATAAAATGAGGCAATATTAACTATTAGGTAAGTGCCAATGATTTGTATAGAAAGTATATTGGTCAATGAAAAATTGACAATACATTATAGATGTACATTGCATTCAATGTGTTATGAGATATTGGAAATAATTTTCTTTTCCTCAGTCGAATTACATCATTTCATTCATAATAGTAAACGAAAACATGTCTACATTCCATAGATTGTAACTTTACTAATAATTGTTCTATTCCAATGATTATTATTAAATATTATTATTTTTTTTTTTGTAAACTTCGCAAATAACGATTCCTTTACTTCATAAGTTTTCCTGATATTTAGGGAGGATATGGGTATGATTCGTTACTGTGCCGTGAAATCCCATTTCGTTTGATACCTCAGTCATCAAGATCCATTGCTCTTGAGAGTCGAAAAAGGGATCTACACGGCGAAAATTAGGATAATACAATAATAAAATTCAACGAGGATAAACAAAGTTGATATTAAAGAGCATTTTATTGTACATTGATATGACGAGTTTAATCAAAATCGTTGGAGCCTCTTACAATTAGATTGTAAAATTAATTAAGTAAGTCAATTTTGATGAAATAGTTGCTATAACATCCGAGGCATATATATTACTTTAAATTATTTACCTTTAATAATGTAGATTACCTGATTATTTAATTATTATTATATCTTAAATACGTAATTGCAGCTTCGTACGATTCCGAGAAGTAGTTATCTGGAATCATAAGACCTTAATGTATTTCCGTAGAAAATTGGATTAAAATTTTTTCACGATCACTATAAATTTTCTTACTGTATGTAGGTAAGTAAAAGTGAACATAATATATAAAGTTGTTCATTTAATATTTCTCCTTAACAGAAATCAGAATCGTATCTTGAAACGAATTACCAACGATAGTCATTATATCATTATTGGTGTTTTGCGGGCTGGATGGAAAATAAATAAAAAAAAGGAATAATAATACTGGCTGACGCCCATGAATAAATTATTTTACTCTTATGGGCGTATAATAATTATAGATTAAAGCTTTATGCAATGGTATGAACCTATTTATTTTACAAGTATGGCATTTATTGATTTGTAGATAATTATAACCACAATTGACCTTGTTATGACGTCTGCTAGAATTAGTTTCATAAAAACTTTTGAAAAAAAAAATGTTTTGTTTTTTTATTTCAAATCGTTTCTGAAAATTCATATCCCTCTTTAAGATTTTTCGCGTCTCAGTAGTTTCAAACAAAGTATCTTGGGTAACTTTGTATAACTTATTTTGGAAACACAGTGGACTGAAAAAAAAAATTGAGCTACTTAGGGTGCAGTAAGTACTTAATAGCCCCCTTAAAATGATATTAATAAAGAGGAACTCCGAAAACATAATCTGAAGGAAATTTTTTCTTGTTTAGTACAAACCAATAGTTTATAATAACCTAAGTTATTTTTTTTATCGCTTCTTTAAAAAAAAATCATATAAATTTACTGATTTTTACTGTGGAATAGGATCATGGTCTATAAGATCTTTTTTTATTTCTTGAGGTCTACTATAATTTACATAAATGTTTCTCACACCCTGTATTTATTTATATATTGTATAAAGATTTGTTAGTTCCTATAAACATGGCTATAAATTAATAGAACAACGGTTGTAACAATACAATCTGAGTGGAATTTTGAAAAAAAAAATTTCGTGTTTTATAACACAATTCTTGATTGATAAATAGGACATTTACTATTATCATTAATATTTACAACCCTATCTTACGATCATTAGCACAGAACGGATGATTGCAATACACATTATGAAGTCAAATAGGCAGATCACTAAATAGCACTAAGGTGACGTAACTATTGTTTCCACTTAGCAGTGCAGTGTGCAGTCAGCAAGGGTGAGGCTTTCCTTCAAGGTCTTGCTGCATAGTTTGTGCATCTAATATTATTTTATAGTATTTTATTTTTCAAAATAAACTTAGTCATTCAAATACAAATAATGGGGGTTAAATGAAAATCAGAATTGATTTATTTTTAGAAGAAAATAATTACTATATCTCTGCAAAATAAAATGATTAAATACTAACAATTGTTGTTTTTTGGAGTGAGATATGATTTTTAAAATGGTCTAGTCAGTGATAGACCACATTATATATATATATATATATATATATATATATATATATATATATATATATTGATGTACTGACCAGAAGGCACTAAGGATTTTAGAAAGAAAAATCATGAGACGAATTTTTGGCTACCTATGCATACAAGGAGAGTAGAGGAGAGTAGAGTAGACAAATCAGGAACTGGATGAACGAATGAAGCACGAGAATATTGGACGCTTTATTAAAGGTAGAAGAATTAGTAGGCTAGGAAAAGTGGAAAAACTGCCAGATGACAAAGCAACGAAAAAGATACTTAGAGAGGAATTTCCCCGAAAATGGAAAAGAGGACGACCGAGAAAATGTTGGAAAAGTGTGGAAAAGTGACGTGGAAGAGGATTTAAGAAGAATGGGAGTGGTAAATCGGAGGATAATAATGAAGGATAGAGAGGATTGGAAAAAGATCCTGAAGGAAGCCAAGGTCCACCTTGGACTGTAGAGCCCGTCAGTAAGTAAGTAGTACATATATATATATATATATATATATATATATATATATATATATATATATATAGATAGATAGATAGATAGATAGATAGATAGATATCGCTGGAAAGTTGTATTCTATCACCTTAATTTCAGCTAGTGCCATTCCGTTTTGAAAAATTACTAAATTCTCTCCAAAAAAAAAAAAAAAAAAAAAAATAGAAATAGATCGAGATTTGTACATTTGAAACAACTTGTACTGACCAAAGCAGCAAAGTGGGTTCAAATATTTTTTTAAAGAGACACAAAGTTAAGATTCGTATTTCACACCTCGAAAAACCCTCAAACGAAATCACGAAAAATGTTATGATTTCAATATGACTATTTGAATTAGTGTTTTTGTTTAGTTATAACGTTTAAAAAGGATACTTTCGGCTACAAAACATCCTACTACGACCAATAGAAACAGTTCAGTAAACATAAGCATTCCGAAAACTGTAGTAAATTAACATGAGAGATGTTTCTGTTTAATGCAGGTATGGTCATACAACACAGTTTCCGCTGATTTGGGTTGGTTAGGATCAGTGCTATACCGAATTAAAATATATATTTTTTTCGTTTTTCTAATTCCTAAAGTGTTAGGAACATGTTCCAACGCTCATTCCAATGATGCATAGGAGTCAAGAAAAAAAAATATTATTAAAAAAAAATTCTTTGATTTTTTTTAATGCAATTTTTTAAATATTAAAATGATATTATATGTGTTTTTAGTATCCTTTAAAATTCTTAAATACGAGTTTTTATAGAAATAAAAAAATGCAATTTTTAGTATATGATTTTTTGTAGGACTTTTTCTGGCCGTTTTCTAAAGCTTCATAACTCTTTTCTTAAAAATCAAAGTCATTCCAACTATTGGAAATCTGTACCAACCTATTTCATTCCAACCCAATATATATCAACAAATTTTAGATTTTATTCTTTCATCAGCTAGAAATAAAGAAAAACTTTTCCCCCATTTTATTTTCATTTATTTGTTTCTAACCTGTTTTTGGAGGTCGGGTTTGTACCTTTTCGTGTAAGCAACACTTTAATGGATATTATGACTAAAATAAATTCATCTTTATATATATATATATATATATATATATATATATATTAATATTAATACGCATTTAAGATCATACAGTAACGAGCACTTCAGAAGATATGAGAAAAATTGTAGAATTAAAAAGTGAAATGATTTTATTCTTATGGTATTAACATAATTTTATTATGTATCCTACAACCGATTTTTTTTTTCTATTTAGAAGTATTTTAAAAAAGAATAACTTACACGTGTAATTGTTGCGAGTTAAATGTTATAAAAAGTTAATTTAGCTCTTGGGTTTCTAATCTAGATCGTCATGGTCAGTAGTTTTTCTGGTTTTATTTTAAGTGAAGTTTTAGAATTTTCTTTCCTCGCATTTCATGAAACTTCATTAAAGCCTAACAATATTTGGCCCAAATACAAATAAAAAGAAAAAAGGATTATCAAGCAAATCCGATATCTAAAATATTACCTTTGAGTTCTTTGCCATCGGGAGTACAGGGACCCTTGTTGGCCAAGCAGTCGAAGTACTTCTTGTAAAGCCTTTCGTTGGAGAGTATCTCATCAAGGTCTATGTTGTCGTACTTGGTCGTATAGCCGTCTGGTTTGGCGAAGACCAATCCGACGAAGAGGAGACAAGCAAGGATAAGACGCATCTTGAATGACTTGAATGCTCCATGCAGTTGGCACCTAATATATAAAGCGTCCAACCCCCTCCCCGTTGTCCTGATCCTCAGATATCAATCTCACGAAGGTGTAATATTTTCCATATGGGAAATTCCTGATTTCTCAGGAAGCCTATAATCATATCCCTTTAATGCGAGCAAATTGAAGTTTAATTTCTACTGATCGTTTTATACTATTTTTCTGTTAGTATTTATGAGATCAACTTTTTTTTTCTCATTATTTCAAGTGAATTGTACTTTGTATAGTATAATAGAGTCTGATAAACCTTAGAATTATGGAGTCTTAAGTTATTAAAGTAAAGTTAGTTAATTAAAAGCTATACTTACTTACTTAACAGGTGCTATAACTCGACGTTAATCAGACTTATTGATTAATAGTTTTTTCAACCCCTCAACAATAACGACCCATGAAATAATTTTAGTGGTATACACTTCTTCATATCTTTTTTCAAATAAGTACAATAAAACAGGTTTGACTAGATTTTACCGTAAGTACAAAAATCTGGTGCGCGCAACACACAACTTTCACTTACTCTTTGAACTTTGAATACAAATTATTTTCTGGTCATGTTAGGCTATTATAAAATGTTTTAAATTGCATTTTAAACTGAGCTAAAGATAACAAATCTCAAATGCTATTAACATAACAAAAGTCCTATTTATTATATCACCGGTTGATTATGGATTGTACGACTATAAGTCATTAAACTGTTATTTTCCATTGCAAAGTTTATTAAAACGGAATTAAGAGATTTGCAGTGTCAGTCATTGACAGGTCAAAAGTTGTCACACTAATTGTAAGTGGTTTCTGTTGGAATATCGCAAAAAGAAAAATTATCAAATAATTCATTAATTTAACTTTCTAAAAGGTTACGTGATGATTTTTCGGAATAAACGGAGGATAGATATCTAAATATTTAAATATATTATGAGATCCAGAGTTATTAAACTACAGTAAATATATTTAGGGTTATAAACGTATCTATGAAATATTTTTGTATTTCACTTCTTTTTTCACACAAGTACAATAGAATAGTAGTGGAATATCACAAAGGGAAGATCTATCGAATAATTCACTAATTTAGTTTTCTAAAATGTTATATGACAATATTTTGGAATAAATTTTAATATCTAATTATTTAGAGAGAAATACTTTATTAAATTAATACTACTCTACTACATAGGGTTGCTTCGTACACAGCATACTTATCAATCCATACGGACATTAATTTTATATTATATTTTTCTTCTTTTTTTTTTTCTCCCCCTTCATAACAATACTCTTACAAATTATCAACACTAAACCATATTAAACAATAGACATAGCATAATAAACACTTTCCCAAAATAAAAAAACAAATTGCATTTTTCTCTTTGAATTCTCAAACGTCAGGAACGCTATACAACATCGCACACATATATAACACAGCAATTCCTTGAATGTAGCCAAAAAGATAAGACGATTGTGGACCAATTTAAAATTTAATAAGTAATCACTAAACTACAGTAAATGTATTTAATATTATAAACACATGATTTATACATCCATCAAAAGATTTTATATTTTATTTCTTCTTTCACACAAGTACAATGAAATAGTTTTTTTAACAATGCCATAACTTGCTCGGGTGGATTTTAAATACTTTCTACAGATGTAAAAATATTTTTTAAAGTTTACATTCTGCCAGTAAAGTTCATTTAATTTCCTTGAAATCATGTGATTTACGTTAAATATTATCAGTTTTCATAAATTGTTACTTATAAGTTTTTCGCCGCTCTCCGTTACGTTCTACAACTTCCTACATTAGATTGTTTTTCTAAAATTATCCGCTTTCCAACGATATATTATAAGTGTACTTCTGACTTGTATTTCCAGAGATTTATTTTCGAACTGTATAAGCATTTATATTTTTTGTCTCCTTTATTCAATTATTAGATTCTTTCAAAAGTTATATTTAGCATTTTTTCGCTAAATATTTTACAAAGCTGCTTATTATTTCACAATGGTATATTATTTGCAAACAATTATACATCTAAAGTAACATTACCATTAAGTTACAAAGAAAAATAAATAAAAGGTTATTCCAATTAATGGACTAAACTTTTCTTTATAATAGTAATATGCAGAAAAAATTAGCATTACCTTATTAACACATTCAAAATTCAAAAACCGAAACAAAGGATATAACCATTGCAGCAGAACGTATTAAAAAAAAAAAAACTAGAGACCATATCTTATCTCCTAATTGTCCGATTTTATCGATTTTTTTTTTTTTTTTAGGCTATTCCATAAACTTTTAGAAAACCATATACAACATTCCCAAAAAAGTGTATACTTTTTGAGTTATTCGGAATTTAATTTTACCATCCCTCGTAACTTTTTTTCCAGCTTCTTTTCGCTGAAGTATGTTATATAGATAAATTTGAAGGGTGTCGAGAAAATGACTTTAGCTAAGTTTCAATGAAATCGATACATTCGTTTAGGCGCTACAGTCTATAGCTACGTTTTTCTGCATTTTTATTTTTTTTCTTCTTTATTAACTTATCAAATTCTTTCAAAAGTTATATTTAGCATTTTTTCGTAACTCTAAATAATGCGAAATAATTAACTTTTTAAAATAAACCATATTAAAGGTACTTTAGAGGAAGACGTATATGAACATTTTGCATTTAAGTCCTGTAAAGTGACATCAATGGGGATAAGACCTAATTGATATTAAAGACCACTTAATTATACAATGATACACCGAGTTTAATCAAAATCGTTAGAGCCGATTTGAGAAAACTGTGAAAATGTGTTTCAGCGTTGATATAAAGTGGCTCTTCCGGTTAGCCGATTTTAAGGAAAAAGTTGCCGTCACAACTAAGGCATATACCTATGTTAAATACGTCATATCAGTTTCATAGGACTTTTCGTTTTTGAGCTAGACTCCTAACATACAAACACACAGACACACAGACCATTTTTCGGGACTTGGTCATTTCGACTCAGGTTACCTCAAAACGTATAAATCCGTCGAAAACTCGGATTCAAAAATTTTCTCGATCGCAATACTTACACTTACTATATATTATATATATACGTAAGTGAAAGTAAAAATTGCAATGCTTCGGGGAATCATATATTTTTGTTTTGTCAAACTTGAATAAATTTTAAATGCCTATATTTAGGGCCTACAGACATTACATTTAGTTTATGTCAAATATCATTAAAGTAGTAATTAATAAAATATAAAACATTAGTTATACGTGGTGTTTCAGTTCTTGAGGGCTAAACTATTGGCGATTCTAGACAAAATTTTCAACAAAAAAAGTACATTTTATTAATTACGGGCCATTTCAGAAAAGGGATTCAGACCAATTTTGCGTTTTTTTTAAGGGATGATAATAATAATAATAACGCAACAAATTTTTAAAATTCTAAGTACACCATCGTAAATTAGATATTTTTTTTTTTTAATTAATTTAGTAAGGTCAATGATAAAAGGGACTTTCAGGAGGTTTAATAAGGCCGTTATACTGAGATATGTTGCAGTACAGCGGCCGTATTAGAGCTTCTGAAAGTCCGTTTTATTATTGACCTTAATAAATTTAAAGTCCCTTTTATGATTGAAATTATTAAATTTAATGCTCAAAAGGTAACACTCGGGTCAATCTGAAAAAAGTAACATCATGTGGATTAGGGTGAAAAAGAGTTAAAGATTGAAATGTCGTGTATTTGCCAAACATGTATGATTTTACTGTTGGTGTGTGCATTGCATTTAATGTTTTATGATGGGATTTGAAATAAATGATGATTATTAACAATTTTGTTAAGAAGTTTCTATTTGCTTATGTGGAAGCTTTTTTACGAATTGTTAAAGTTCCAATCTGTACCTAGAAAAAAATCGTGGTGCAGTGATGTAGATGAGGTGTTTTGTTGCATTACAAGGTAACTGACAGTTGATTATATCGCCCGGTGTTTTTTTTTTTAATGTTGTCATCTATGCTCCAGATGAATGTTTGTTTAAGTATAATCCGAAAAATAAAACATGATTTTTTGAAGGATTTTCGTCCTGTACTGTGTTGTTGTATATTTTTAGAGGAGAACATCAAGCATCCCATAGAGAAAAACTTGCGTGGGATGATTTTCTAGCATTTATTTTAATACTTTATGCGCTGAATTCCTTTTCTATATCAGAAAGATGGTTTTGAACGGAACAAGTGTGACTGTTGGATTTTAGGAGCAAGAAAGAATTGTAGTATTGTCAATGAAGCTATAGATGGTAATAGCGTGTTCAGGGATTACAGATATGTAGAGAGAACATAGGAGAAACTTTTCATACGCCCGGGAGCATTGGAAAGAAGAAGGAAATAGAGGAATTACCAGAATTATGAAAGAACCTGTCAAGGAAAGAGATTAAAGAATTAAAAAGTAAGTAGGAGAAATGGTCGTTTTTATTTTCCACAATAAATTCTTATGCCAGACGCTATCAAATACTTTCTCATCGCCAAGGAAAATCGCAGAGTTATATTCAACAGTAACATTCTATAAGCGACAGTGAATATCATTCACTATACTGTGACACTGTAACAGAATGGAATACGACAGCCGGATCGGTGGCTCCGTGGAACTTAGCGACTTACTAGGATAGGCTTTATGTTATCTAGAAAAGATTTTCACATATTTTTCCCATTATACGTAAGAGTGCAATACGAGAGTATGATGGTACATACTTGCTGGATTGGAAGACTTAAGAATCATTTTGATAGTAGAAAGTTTTCAAAAGAGAAGAAAACGTGATGATTTTATAGATTAATTATATTTTTTAATTGAACTGAAAACTTTTCGACAAATAATCTCTTTCGAATAGTATAATCAGGCGCGTTGTTGGCTCTAGAATCGAAATTTGTTGAAATATTTTTATGAATTTATGTATTATTATAATAACATTTTTTCAAATGACTCAAATTATTTTCTCTTACCTTTTTTTTTTTTTGTTAAATATCATTATTATCATGGCATTTGCATTTTGATATATAGATTTTGGAAACGACCGAAAAGATTTAAAATCCGCCAT